CATAAAAAACGTCATAGTATAGTATGGCTTAAAACGTCAAAAAACGTCATAGTATAGCAAGGCATAAAAATGGAAAAAAAATCATAGTATTGTAAGGCATAAAAAACGTCATAGTATAGTATGGCTTAAAACGTCAAAAAACGTCATAGTATAGCAAGGCATAAAAATGGAAAAAAAATCATAGTATTGTAAGGCATAAAAAACGTCATAGTATAGTATGGCTTAAAACGTCAAAAAACGTCATAGTATAGCAAGGCATAAAAATGGAAAAAAAATCATAGTATTGTAAGGCATAAAAAACGTCATAGTATAGTATGGCTTAAAACGTCAAAAAACGTCATAGTATAGCAAGGCATAAAAATGGAAAAAAAATCATAGTATTGTAAGGCATAAAAAACGTCATAGTATAGTATGGCTTAAAACGTCAAAAAACGTCATAGTATAGCAAGGCATAAAAATGGAAAAAAAATCATAGTATTGTAAGGCATAAAAAACGTCATAGTATAGTATGGCTTAAAACGTCAAAAAACGTCATAGTATAGCAAGGCATAAAAATGGAAAAAAAATCATAGTATTGTAAGGCATAAAAAACGTCATAGTATAGTATGGCTTAAAACGTCAAAAAACGTCATAGTATAGCAAGGCATAAAAATGGAAAAAAAAAATCATAGTATAGTAAGGCATAAAAAACGTCATAGTATAGTATGGCTTAAAACGTCAAAAAACGTCATAGTATAGCAAGGCATAAAAATGGAAAAAAAATCATACTTTAGTAAGGCATAAAAAACATGAAAAACGTCATAGTATAGTATGGCTTAAAACGTCAAAAAACGTCATAGTATAGCAAGGCATAAAAATGGAAAAAAAATCATAGTATTGTAAGGCATAAAAAACGTCATAGTATAGTATGGCTTAAAACGTCAAAAAACGTCATAGTATAGCAAGGCATAAAAATGGAAAAAAAATCATAGTATTGTAAGGCATAAAAAACGTCATAGTATAGTATGGCTTAAAACGTCAAAAAACGTCATAGTATAGCAAGGCATAAAAATGGAAAAAAAATCATAGTATTGTAAGGCATAAAAAACGTCATAGTATAGTATGGCTTAAAACGTCAAAAAACGTCATAGTATAGCAAGGCATAAAAATGGAAAAAAAATCATAGTATTGTAAGGCATAAAAAACGTCATAGTATAGTATGGCTTAAAACGTCAAAAAACGTCATAGTATAGCAAGGCATAAAAATGGAAAAAAAATCATAGTATTGTAAGGCATAAAAAACGTCATAGTATAGTATGGCTTAAAACGTCAAAAAACGTCATAGTATAGCAAGGCATAAAAATGGAAAAAAAATCATAGTATTGTAAGGCATAAAAAACGTCATAGTATAGTATGGCTTAAAACGTCAAAAAACGTCATAGTATAGCAAGGCATAAAAATGGAAAAAAAATCATAGTATTGTAAGGCATAAAAAACGTCATAGTATAGTATGGCTTAAAACGTCAAAAAACGTCATAGTATAGCAAGGCATAAAAATGGAAAAAAAATCATAGTATTGTAAGGCATAAAAAACGTCATAGTATAGTATGGCTTAAAACGTCAAAAAACGTCATAGTATAGCAAGGCATAAAAATGGAAAAAAAATCATAGTATTGTAAGGCATAAAAAACGTCATAGTATAGTATGGCTTAAAACGTCAAAAAACGTCATAGTATAGCAAGGCATAAAAATGGAAAAAAAATCATAGTATTGTAAGGCATAAAAAACGTCATAGTATAGTATGGCTTAAAACGTCAAAAAACGTCATAGTATAGCAAGGCATAAAAATGGAAAAAAAATCATAGTATTGTAAGGCATAAAAAACGTCATAGTATAGTATGGCTTAAAACGTCAAAAAACGTCATAGTATAGCAAGGCATAAAAATGGAAAAAAAATCATAGTATTGTAAGGCATAAAAAACGTCATAGTATAGTATGGCTTAAAACGTCAAAAAACGTCATAGTATAGCAAGGCATAAAAATGGAAAAAAAATCATAGTATTGTAAGGCATAAAAAACGTCATAGTATAGTATGGCTTAAAACGTCAAAAAACGTCATAGTATAGCAAGGCATAAAAATGGAAAAAAAATCATAGTATTGTAAGGCATAAAAAACGTCATAGTATAGTATGGCTTAAAACGTCAAAAAACGTCATAGTATAGCAAGGCATAAAAATGGAAAAAAAATCATAGTATTGTAAGGCATAAAAAACGTCATAGTATAGTATGGCTTAAAACGTCAAAAAACGTCATAGTATAGCAAGGCATAAAAATGGAAAAAAAATCATAGTATTGTAAGGCATAAAAAACGTCATAGTATAGTATGGCTTAAAACGTCAAAAAACGTCATAGTATAGCAAGGCATAAAAATGGAAAAAAAATCATAGTATTGTAAGGCATAAAAAACGTCATAGTATAGTATGGCTTAAAACGTCAAAAAACGTCATAGTATAGCAAGGCATAAAAATGGAAAAAAAATCATAGTATTGTAAGGCATAAAAAACGTCATAGTATAGTATGGCTTAAAACGTCAAAAAACGTCATAGTATAGCAAGGCATAAAAATGGAAAAAAAATCATAGTATTGTAAGGCATAAAAAACGTCATAGTATAGTATGGCTTAAAACGTCAAAAAACGTCATAGTATAGCAAGGCATAAAAATGGAAAAAAAATCATAGTATTGTAAGGCATAAAAAACGTCATAGTATAGTATGGCTTAAAACGTCAAAAAACGTCATAGTATAGCAAGGCATAAAAATGGAAAAAAAATCATAGTATTGTAAGGCATAAAAAACGTCATAGTATAGTATGGCTTAAAACGTCAAAAAACGTCATAGTATAGCAAGGCATAAAAATGGAAAAAAAATCATAGTATTGTAAGGCATAAAAAACGTCATAGTATAGTATGGCTTAAAACGTCAAAAAACGTCATAGTATAGCAAGGCATAAAAATGGAAAAAAAATCATAGTATTGTAAGGCATAAAAAACGTCATAGTATAGTATGGCTTAAAACGTCAAAAAACGTCATAGTATAGCAAGGCATAAAAATGGAAAAAAAATCATAGTATTGTAAGGCATAAAAAACGTCATAGTATAGTATGGCTTAAAACGTCAAAAAACGTCATAGTATAGCAAGGCATAAAAATGGAAAAAAAATCATAGTATTGTAAGGCATAAAAAACGTCATAGTATAGTATGGCTTAAAACGTCAAAAAACGTCATAGTATAGCAAGGCATAAAAATGGAAAAAAAATCATAGTATTGTAAGGCATAAAAAACGTCATAGTATAGTATGGCTTAAAACGTCAAAAAACGTCATAGTATAGCAAGGCATAAAAATGGAAAAAAAATCATACTTTAGTAAGGCATAAAAAACATGAAAAACGTCATAGTATAGTATGGCTTAAAACGTCAAAAAACGTCATAGTATAGCAAGGCATAAAAATGGAAAAAAAAAATCATAGTTTAGTAAGGCATAAAAAACGTCATAGTATAGTATGGCTTAAAACCTCAAAAAACGTCATAGTATTGTAAGGCATAAAAAACGTCACAGTAAAGTATGGCTTAAAACGTCAAAAAACGTCATAGTATAGCAAGGCATAAAAATGGAAAAAAAAATCATAGTATTATAAGGCATAAAAAACGTCATAGTATAGTATGGCTTAAAACCTCAAAAAACGTCATAGTATAGCAAGGCATAAAAATGGGAAAAAAAATCATAGTATTGTAAGGCATAAAAAACGTCATAGTATAGTTGGGCTTAAAACGTCAAAAAACGTCATAGTATAGCAAGGCATAAAAATAGGAAAAAAATCATAGTATTGTAAGGCATAAAAAACGTCATAGGAAAGTATGGCTTAAAACGTCAAAAAACGTCATAGTATAGCAAGGCATAAAAATGGGAAAAATATCATAGTTTAGTAAGGCATAAAAAACATGAAAAACGTCATAGTATAGTATGGCTTAAAACGTCAAAAAACGTCATAGTATAGCAAGGCATAAAAATGGGAAAAAAATCATAGTATTGTAAGGCATAAAAAACGTCATAGTAAAGTATGGCTTAAAATGTCAAAAAACGTCATATTATGTCTAATATGACTTCACTCAGAACATAGTGTGAACGAGTTCACTCAAATATTGGTATGGACAATCTGTCCTTCCAAAATATATCGGTTGGGACATTTCCCTTTCGTCCTATGCCCTTGACAAAAAACGCATGTTTAAGGTAAGTCGAGTGTGAATCTGGCAACAGATTTTTACTAGTAACAGGAGCCACGAAGCCAAGTAAGCATTGAAAAACCAGCACTGTGAGGAAAACAAAGTAGTGACCAGCGACCTCCTCAGAGACACAGAAGCCACACAACCAAACAAGCCTTCACTCCAACAGGAAGCCAATACAAGCCTGTGGCTCACTGGACATCACAAAGCAGCACACTGGAAAGGACCTCCATTTTGCCATGGTCAGGGTAACATTGACTGGACCTAACCTAGCATAGTATAGCACAGCACAGCTAAGCACAGTGCTGTTAACCTTTGTCAGCGGTTGTGTCCGAAATCACTCACTCATTCACTACTCACTATTCAGGGAGTCCTCTGTAGAGGACTATATAGTTACACTGTAGCTCATCAGAAAAATAAAAAAATGCTTTCAGACACTACTTGGGTAAATTTCTCTGCTGTTTTTTCTTCATTTCAGTGTGAGCCCAAGGCAGGTTGGTTCTTATTGCTTGGTTACTGACCGATAACTTTTGTTGTAGTTTATTAATCAGAGCTCCAAATTGATAGTATATTTTGAGACTGTATCAATATTTGCTGTCCTTCCCTGAATAGGGTGGTGCCCCAAGAATAACTTTAATATTAATTGACGTTATTATTTAATATTAATATTTTTTTAATTAATATTTTGTTAAGTGATAACCTAGCAATGCCCAACATTGGACAGAACATGTCAGTATCTCACCTTGCCAGCTTTGGCAACAGCATCCACCTCTACCTCCCGGGCACCACGGATGAACTTGGTGATGACAACTGGATGCTCCTGGAAGAAAGACAGCAGGAGGGTTATTCTATCAATGATTAAAGAGTGAAATAACCCAGTCACAACAAGCCTTTTGTGATTGTAGCGCAGTCTCTAAGTTTTAAGTTTTAGTGGGTTTTTTTCCTGACGAATAGAAGTCCAAAATTCACTCTCTTTTAGCTCTGATGTTGTTTTCTACCAACTGCTGAAAGAAGTATCAGTCTAATAGTGATAATACTATCACTATTATTAATATTGCTATCATTGCACATTCTTGTTCTTTTCCTCTGTACTCTCTCTTTCTCTCCTGCTTGCACGCTCTTTCTCTCTCTCTCTCTCTCTCTGTCTCTCTAACGAGGCAGATGGCCGCCCACCCTGAGTCCGGTGCTGCTCGAGGTTTCTACCTCTTAAAAGGAAGTTTTTCCTTGCCACTGTCGCCGAGCGCTTGCTCTTGGTGGGAACTGTTGGGTCTTATAAAGAGAAACTCTAGACATGGTCTATTTGGAAAGTCCCTTGAGATAACATGTGATTTGGCACTATACAAATAAAAATTGACTTGACTTGACTTTGTAGCCACTAAAAGCTCCACTATATTCACCAGCTGTACCTATTTGGTACCCATTTGGTGGTGAGCAGGTACTGTACCGTGGGTTTTTAAGAGTTTTCAACTGAAAGCAGCGTGATGAGAGCAGTGAGAGTACAGATACAGTATTTTCTCTTTGCTTGACTTATACTCTTAAACCTTTAATACTTTCATACTTATAACTCACAATTGATTCTTAGACTGATCAACCCTCACATTTGAGTGATACTTCTAATCTGCTAAACCACTACTTTGAATTCTTTGACTGCTTGATGAATGCTCTTTTTCACATGTTGATAACTAGAACAATGTGATCTGTGATTTTGGTGAAAGACATTTAACGTGACATTTTGTCATTACCTTCTGATGGATTAAAGGTTGCTTTCCAAATTGATGTATTAGGTGACATTTTGATTATTTCTTTGACTGCATTTTTTAAACAGCTGTTCTTTTAATCATCTTATTTTTATTTTCTATTTGAAACATTTCATTCTTTTTATGGTTGGTTTTGACTTTTATATTTTTAATCTGTTTATGACTGAATGCCTTGACGTATTTAGCTTGCTCATGATTGATTGCTGATGACAACTTGCTCATATTTTTTGCAAATGTACTCTATATCGATTGATTATTGCTCAACTTTGATTTGAATTGAAGTATGAATTGATTTTTGCTATAATAATTTTCTTTATCGATTGGTGTACCTGGTTGGTTTAAGTTTTAATTGGTTGACAGATTATGTATTATAAATGCATTTGAATAACATGTGTGCTAATATTGTAGACATCAAGTAAAATCACTGCTAATTCCCTGAGATGGTTATTTTGCCTGATTCATTTCTGCCATCACCTATCTTAAACATACAGCTAAAGTAACTAAGTTTGTTACCTGACTCCTATCCAACTCAAGACTACAGGCAAAAAACAAGCAACAAAAAAAACTGAGGATAGCTGCAGAGCATGCCTGGCAAAGCTTCTCCAGGGAAGTGCCTGTTGATGTTTATGGGTCACAGACTTCAAACAGCCAGTCATTACTGCAAAGGATGAAACTAAATACTGTATATATTAACTTTTTCAAGTTTATGGTAATTTGTCAACTTTCTTTTGATCCTCTATGATTCCTACACTGCTCATCTGCTCAGGCTAAAGCTGAAAGTCAGTCATTAGTCATTTAACCCAATGGTCATTGTTTCATTTTAAATCCTATGTGCTGGAGTATGGAGCCAACAAAAACAAATGTTCACATGGTCTTTCATATGCTTACAGACTTCACTGTGTGCATATGTTTTAAGAATTAAATGTTAAACAGGAATATTTTCTTATAACTTGGTTTAAACCTGCTTTGGTGCTCTGAGAGTATGATATGTGCATGTGTGTGTATGCTTCTAGCCCCAGGTAGAGGCCCTTGGAGGGGCCAGCTGCCCTCGAGCCACCTGGGTGTTCAGTGAGGTAGAGATGGGCACACAATACTAGCCAACAGACATACCAGCTGGTAGCAGTAGTTAATTGAAAGCAGAGGGAGAAGGAGACATGAAAAAGAGAATGTGTGAGTGTGTGTATGTGTGTATGTGTGTGATGGAGACCACAAGATCCTGTGTCCAAACATGCTAATTTGATATATTTCAAGACTGAAAAATGAAAGGCCAAGGTGATACTTTTGGAGAGAGTTCTCTGGCAATATGTCTCTCTCACATGTGCAAGCATGTTAACACTGATCTCACCTGGGACACCTGAGCAGCCTCCTCTAAGAAACGTTTCATCTCCTCTTCTCCGTACACAACGTTCATTGCAGAGCCACTGGTGGGATGCAAGCGGGAGAGAAAAGGAAAGAGTGAGGGAGAGAAAACAGAGGGCCACGGGAGAGGAAGAGAAGCAAGCAAAGGGGAGAACATACAAGCTTCTAATGATTGTTCAAAACACTCATTATCTCTCCGTTGCATCACTATTACCATCGGGAACAAGGTCTGGAAACAGTCAAAATAAGGCACAAGAGAGAAAGAGAGAGAAAGGGAAAAGAACAGCTATTTGGGTCGAAAAGCACTCCAGGCTCTTCAAAACGAGTTCAGAACTTCGTCATTAAAAAACAACAGATTTAGGCTAGTTTTGTTGTGGTTGTTGTTTTTGATTTTAGATTGCTAGCTAGGCAGCTAGGCTGTCCTCCTGTTTGAAAAGGAGTGTTTGAGAGAAACAGGACACATCAAGGCCACAGGCTTGGGTCAGAGCTTTATTCCTTCACTGTTTGTAGCTCAGAGGCAGACGTATGTCGAACCCCCAAATTAATATAAACCCATGATTGGAGCACAAGCAATACACGGTTTATATGCATTTACATTCAGGCATATCCTTGACTCGGACACCATTTAGTTACTGCATCACTGTCCTCTGAATTTTCAAATGAATCCAATCATTTGGAAGAATTATTACGAGTAAAAGTACAGATTACATTCTGACCCAGAGTCTGTCCTTGAGTCTTTTACAAAAATAAAATGAGTATGCAAAACTATGTTTTTCTGTCCATCAGTCCAATTTATACTGCTGCTGCCCAATAGTTGTAGCAGTGGTAGTAGCAAGTATTAATAGTGTTGATGATTGTAGTTGTAAAAGTACTCTTAGTTTGTCTTATCTTGTTTGCCTGGAAATAGTCAAATTTGAATATGTGAATATGTGAAAAAAAGTGAATAAACTGGTGTGAATTTGTCCTAATGCAAGTCCAACATTGGATCTAAAATAAGACTAAAAAGGGATTTGAGTGTTATTTTCTGTGGCAAAACATATTTTTTGTCAGTTAGTCAATTTCTTTGTTAAATGGTTTTCTCTCACCTCATAGTACTTTATGTTCGCATTACAGTCATTTGTTATTACATTTTTTCTGTCTATCTGAACAAATATCATTATAGTGACCTGAACACATTTTCCTATTCACATCCTGATTTGATTCCAAAAAAATCCTCAAAATTAAAAAAATACAATTATAAAACAATGGGTTCACGAGAAATTCATTTGATGCATGTTTATAAAAGGTAAGGTTGTTCATGCTTGTGTTTATTACTTGGGTTTGATTGATTACATCGCTCACTCACACAGTTATGCTTTCACACGGACAGAAATTCCTCAGAAATGCCGTGCATTTGCATTTCACTCTCTCTCGCCAACACTGGCTTTTGCAGCTCTCGTAAACAGTGAGGAAATGAGACAGTTTCACTGTGGACTGGCATGTAGATAAAATGATTAAACTAAGTCTAGTTTGAAACCTGTCTAATTGCTTGCACACATTATACAGCTGTGCACAGCAGTTTTAGCACGTCACAGCAATTGTCTTTTCATAACCAAAAGCAATGATGGACTTTTGTATGCAAATAAGACATAGGTCATAAGAAATTTATAAAGTTATTTAATGAATATATTTCAAGGCCAAATACTTCAAACTGAGTGAGTTATGGGGTATGTGTGTGTTTGTGTCCATTTCGCTGTTAGATAAATATGAAGCATGAATCTGACAAGGAAGAGAGTCTTTGGTGTGTAAATTTGTGAGATTGTGCATATGTACTGAGGCTGGAAGAACATTCAAAAACCATTACCAAGTATGTCAAAGGGGAAGAGTGAAAACCCTTTGGGGAGGGGAAAGATTAGACAGAGTTCATCCTACACCAGTGCTGGAGAGGAGAGCATCCTCATCTTAAACACTATTCAGCAGAAGTCAGTATACACATAAGAATAGGAAATTGTGAATAATGATAAACTATATATTATTAATGGTATAATTATGGTTACTTCAACATCCAATGGAAATTTTAAATACTGCTGGATATCCCCCTTGTTGAATTTAATTACTTTGATATTTGTTAGTTTTAAATGTGACCTAGTGCCCAACACTCAAGGTTTCCCACAGTGCTTAACAAGTACAGATTACCTTATAAAAAAACATCACAGCTTGCATGTAAAATCATAAAAAGTCCAAAACTTCATAACATCATACATACGTTTACTCTCAGTGACACCAGAGCCCTGCTAAATACAGGGTCTCATCACGACATCTGCTGGACAGAAGTGTCACTGCATGATTGAAGAAGCACTTGGCTGAGTTAAGTTTAATAATCATCATAACTAAAATTGTATTTTACTCAGTTAAAAATAAGTCTGTGAATTAGCTGGTGAAAAAAAATATAAATCCATAGATTCTTCTCTCTTTATGCCTCAGCTAACAAAAACTGCAATTTTCTTCTCTGTTTGTTAACATACTTTACTGGCTAAATATTTGACACAAGATAACTAATTCTGTTTAGATTATTGCCCTTGAAGTTTAAACCACTACTTGCAACAAAGGACATAAAATGTGCTTGTTATTAAAAGTTGTCAAACTGAGTCAGCTACTGCATTCATAATGTTGACATGATAATCTTGTTTAATGTTCTTCAGTGTGAGGGATTAGGTGTTGGTAAAGCATTAGTAATTCATGTCTCCTATTGTATGTTGTAATATATGTACTGTATGTGCTGACATGTGTTAAAACTTACCTGAGAACATAGGAGGGACGGAGCAGACAGGGATAGCCCACTTGGTTGGCAAACGCAAAGGCATCTTCCTGTGACAGGTGAGCAACGTGCAACAAATGTCAGAAAGACAAAGTATGTCATGTAATAATGGTAACACCAGTCAGAATTCTGAATATAACACCCTTTGAAACCCCTTGCAAGTTCTGACTAAGAAGTAAAGTTACGTACTATGGCCAAACAGTATAGTTTTCTTGGTAATTGACATAGCTGCAGTCTTAGACATCCATATGCACAAATTGTTGGGACTGTATCAATTTTGCAGGACAACTAGTGAAAAAATAGCTACATACAACAAAATGTGGTTTTATGCCACTGGACTGAGGGGAGGAGTTTAATCTAGACCTGATAGTTGATAAGTTCTTGGCCAAAACAACAAAATGTAAGTAATAAAACCAACATTTAACCAATTTGTATAACTGTTGTCACTCATTTCACTTTTTTTATTGCTGTAGGAAGTAGAAATGTAAAACCTTGTTAACACATTTGCCTGCTCAGTTACAGCCTTACTTGTCTCTGAGGTATGACTTATTTTCAGGACCCACAGAGAAGTTTTAGTATTGTAACAAACACAGTAGCAACAGAAACAATCAATCCGACCGATAGCAATTCTTTATAAAAGAGTACTTTAAAAAATGGTTTCAAACGAGGACATTGGACTTTTCTTTTGTATTTGAATCTTTATGTAACTCATATAATGCTAAAGAAGTTTTGATTGCAGCCACTTGAGACAGAAAACGAAGTATCGATATAAAATCAAGAGGCATGTGTTTGCACAGTAACAACCCTCTCATACAATGAGCTCCATTTATACCTGTTCTCAATTCAACCAAACGCATTTTAAAAAGGCTTTGAGAATGAAAGGTGTAATCCCATATCTGCCAAATGTGCACCAACAGCCAGTAAGTGGGGCCTCAGTTCATCTCCCTTTCGATTTTGTTTTCTTCCATTCAGAATAAAAGAGCAAGAGTTGTGGAAGGAGTCTAGCAGTGAGAGAAACGCTGTATGTCCTTCTCCTCTTCCTCATCATCATTATCATCACAGCGCTTTCTCTCTTTCTCCGTTTCTCTGCAGGACTAGGCTTTTTTTTTCTCTATCATTACCCACTGTTCACTCACCAGGTGGAGTACCATTTACAAACACAAAATAGCTTCCCAGAGACGCAAAAAGCATCTCCCCAAGGCTCTTCTAAGTTATTCTGGCCCAATAAAAACAAACTGTTTCTTCAAGATCGGCAGGGAAATAGGAGACGTAGGTAGACTCTGGAGAGACACAGAACTTTATCTGTGTGCGTGCCAGCTAATCACTCCTCAGCGGTAACTGAATATTTGAGCAACGGTAATGGAAGAGACACATTTCAGTGTTCCACGTGTTCCACAGAGGGGTTTGTCAGTGCCTTGTTCTGTTGTAGCCGAGGGCCACACACAAGAACTAGACGGTAAGAAGTAGGGTGCAGTGCCTCTATGAGGAAGAAAGTTCTAAAAATGGCGAGTAAAGTTTGTCAGTAGAGAAAGGTGTGACATCAAAGCAGCTGACACCTAGATGACACCTAGAGGCTCCTTGGTGCTCAGGTCATGCTCCACAACACTCATATACCTTGTTTGGAGAGCCATTTGAAAAGATTTTCTCAACATTTTACTACTAGCCATTATTTATGTGTTTCCTCTCACCAGAGAACTGAGCGCCCTCCATGGGGCTTGGGCCACCCCGAGGTCATCTAGGACACTGGAAAAGATGGAGCGCTCCTCAGCCCGGTCAATCTGCAGGGGGCTTGTCCCAAGAATCTTGATCCCACTCTGGTGCAACGGGACAGCCAGATTGTTGGGGATCTGGCCTCCCACTGACACAATGCTGCCGGAGCAACCCTGGAGAGGACGGGAGAGGAGAGGACAAGAAGAATGTGCAAGATAAACAGGGGATAGAACAGCAGGAAGGATAAAAGAAAGAGAAGAGGAAGAAGAACAAAAGACAGGAGAAGGGGAGATACTCTGTCAAGTCTTGGACCTCCTGCCACAGGCCTATCAGCCAAGATTTACAGTCTGAAACCTGAGGCCACTTCCAATTATTCTGGCCACTGATCACACAGTGAAAATATGAGACAAACAGAAGTTATGTTGTAGGTTTAGTTATCACCATGGATGGGGTTTACAGTGCATTCAGAGAGTAGTCAGACCCAACATTTTATAATGTTGCAGCTTTATGCTAAAATCATTTAAATTCATTTTTTCCCTCATCAATCTCCATCAATCGCTGGCAACAAAGTACTGAGTAAAGGGGCTGAATACTTATGCCAATGTGAAATTTCAGTTTTTCACATTGTTGTTTTTGCTTTGTCATTATGGTGTACTGAGTCTAGATTGATGAGGGAAAAAATGAATTTAAATGAATTTAGCGTAAGGCTGCAACATAATAAAATATAAAAAAGTGAAGGAGTCTGTGTGTGTGTGTGTGTGTGTGTGTGTGTGTGTGTGTGTGTGTGTGAGAGAGAGAGAACGTGAATGTGAACAAGTGTGTATGCACAGAATGCACCCCCTTTCCTGTCTAGCAGATCTAGGGGGAGGCTGTTTCCATGGCAATGCCAGGTTGTATCGCTTTATTATTCATGGACCTGCTCTCCTGTTCCTGTCCAGGGTTTATCTCCATGCTCTAATGCCGTATTTATCACACACACATACAAAGAAAGAGGGGACTGTAGCTCTGAGAGAGGGATTGATGGTAATGCTATCTCCCTGAGCAAACAAACACTTAATCACACCCTGATCCCATCGCAACTTTAACTGGATTACAATTCCTCTGCAATGGAAAGTCAATGGACATTAGCACACAAAGACACAATACAACATAAATACCAAGATAACAACGAACATATTGCAGAGAGATAGTCACTATTCATGCTGTTGAGCATGTTTTGTAACCTTAAGGGTTACATTGGCTCCACAGAGTAGCATTGGACAGTAAGGTGAAAATTATATTATATACATGGCATAACATATCAAAGGCATGAATTCATGTTATTTGAAATAAGGTTCATCATATGGGACATCATGGTATCCTGATGTCATGTTTCATGTAACTCAAACAATAATCCCTACAGATGGTCTTTGTGGTAGAAATATTGCATAAATTTAGACCAGCAAAATGAGTATAGTGATACTGTATTATGTGTAGCCATGACACTAAGAGACTTACAAATGATATACTTCACAACCTTGGATAATAACTGCCACATAATTATTTCTTAGAAAAGTAAACAGAAGACATTTCCACAGTTTCTGTAAATAAAATCGAGTTTTTTCAAAGACCTCAGTCATAACAGTTACCCATATAAAATGACCCAAAAGCTTCAGTCATGTAAAATGACTGCCTAAGAATATATTTAACCCCCCCCCCCCCCCCCCCCCCCCCCCCCCCAAAAAAAAAGGCAAGCACGACCACATGAACTATGAGTGTTATAGAGGCCATTAAAGATTGAAAACCCAGAAAAAAACCCTCTCACCTGTAACTACAAAAACCTAAGCTCTTAAATCTTAGATGAGTCTTTAGTACTGCATAATATATGTCCCAATTAGGACCAATTCAGAGTTTTCCCAGGTTCTCTTTGACAGAGAGAAAGGTTTTGTTTGGCTGCTTTTAATGACCAGGTCCATGCTGGAGGATATGGCGGAAAAAAGCTACACAATTTATCATTTTCTGAGTTTAAATTTGAGTTCATATATATAAATATGAATCATTGTCAGTTATGTTTCATCCATGGCACTCTGAGCAAGGAATGTTTTTTTCCCCCTGCACAGTGGGCACCTGCTCTGAGGTAACTCCATGATAATAAGTCACAGCCAAGCTAATATTTGATTTCTACATTTCTAATAAAGAATTAATCTCGAGACTTGCAGTCTCGCCAAAACAAATCCAAAAGGTTAAATTAGAGAAATTATTGGGCCATTATGTGTATGCATGTGTACCAGTCTCAGAGCATCAAATCTATCTGCCTGTAATATTGGGTAAATATTGTTTTTTGTTTATATTCCACCAGCGTTTCCTACCTTTGACCTGGATGACATGATGGATTTTTTTCATTATATATGTATTGTGTAAATGATCAATAATACTCTGTCAATGAGAAGCCTTAAATTAATTGCAATGCAATATTTCAATCAGATCCCACTCCATACACATGAATATATAAGTATTTATTAACATTGATATAACCTGTGACAGACAGGTGACCAGACAAGAGTTCTCTGGCTCACTCCCAATGCATGCTAGGATAGGCCCACCGATTTAGACCACAATTAGTTCTATCATTAACCAATACATGTTCTTTTCTTTGATAAAATTAAGCAATATCACACGAGAAGGAGTGATGTTGTACTGAATATCAGCACAGCTGTGGTCATAGGTCATAGGTCACAGCCACAGGCCAAGAAACACCAAGTACTGGAGACCTCAAGTGTGATTAATTAAATGAGCAACAACAGATTATGATTTGTTTGTTTATTTTATCATTTACTCAGCGACTCCAACACAAATAGTTCCGCAACTAGACTGGTACTGAACTGTTGCTAAGCAACACAAACATTTTCCTCACCTGCACAGTGCACACTAGCTTGCTAAGTCTACACGTTACCTCAGGTGTGCGCTGAAGTATCCAGGCTTCTTCCCTTCATCGTCTTCTGACCATACATCATTTGATTCAAATCTTATTTATCATCTGTACAAAGTTTGTTACAATCTAAGACAACGGCCGTTAATGTAACGCTAATTAACGCTAATAGAACACCTGTAAAGCGGAGTGATACATGTAGTTAAAAGTCCCAGTGCTGTTATAGTCTATTATATCAGCATGCATGGAATGCCTCTCGTCCAATCAAATTACTTGGTCAGAACTAAGTGTATGAAAGAAATTGAATTTGTATATTTTGTTTGAATTTTGTCAAATGAAAACCGTCATGTTTGCATGTGTGTCCTAACCTCTTGTTGGGTGATGTCCAGGATGCGTTCCAGGGTCAGCTCTTCAAAATAAAGGCGGTCACACTCATCAAAATCAGTGCTGACTGTTTCAGGGTTGTGGTTTACCACCACTGTCTTCTTGCCCATCTGTCTCAAGGCTCTGATGCTGGACACTGCACACCAGTCAAACTCAACACTACTCCCTGGCGAATGAAACCACTCATTAATTTGAGCACTTTGGAGATCACAAATTCAACATAAAAAGTATACAACTACTATCACTGTGACCTGTAGAGAAACAATGCATTTGCTTTCCATGCAAATGACATTTTAACTGATAATGATTCATTAACTTTTAACTTGCATTGTTTAGAATTTTGAGTTTAAACCACATTTCCTATTAAAACCCAATCTATTCCCGGACAATATTACCGGATTACAGCTGAAACAGTAAGTCTTGCCAAAGTGCTATAGCTACTGTATGAAGCAAGTTTAAACTTTACATTTGGGTGCTTACTATGCACAAACCCTTGCTAATTGTTACTGAAAAAAAAACTGTCAATCGTTGCAGCGATGATATCATGTCTTTTAACAATACCTCTCATTCTTTTTCATCAATAATTTATTGTATAAAACCCCATGCTGTAAATAAATATTGCATGCTTACTGAAATATAAAACAGGCCAATTCACATGTTTCAACTATAAGACTAAAAAAAAAAAAAAAGTTAAAATAATTAATAATTTGAAAATCATACAAATCATATGAAAGCTTATTGTTGGACTTACCAATGTGGTAAGGCCCACAACCAAGAACCATAATTCCCTGGTCTTTAAAGTCCAGATCGTGTTCCTGATGAAATGGATAAATTAATCAAACCATTGTTCATAATAAATTCTTGTGGATATCAATCATTCTTTAACACAGCAAAAAATACCCATCTCACAATTAATATGACAAGTAATCAGATATTTTTTGTCATAGCAAATTAAAATGTTGAAATTGTATTCATACTAATTGGTTTTTCAATGATTGGATGGGCTACATACTGTGCAAACAAGCTCATTATAATGGCTCTATAACATGTATATTTTTCTCCGTAAGCAGGGACACATACCTGACCATGATAGGTACAATACAGATAGTTGGTCATAGCTGGGTACTCTGCTGCCAAGGTGTCAATCTGAGAAAGGGGATCAGAGAAAATATTAAAATGGGTTATTCATTCATATGCAAAAGAAGTTACTTGATCTGCCATACCCCACAGAGTAGCAGTAATGAAAATGTTTAACTATTCCTGTTACATTTGTCTCAATTAGCAGAAAGGTGAGGAAAGCAGTATGAATGTGGGGAGAACATGTAAACTGCACACAGAAAGGCCCCAGTCACACCAGTTCAGACCCAGGATTTATTTTTACATGGTTTGTACACCAATAGTTTAGCACTCCGAAAGGAACAATTTTACATAATGAGTATAATTACTTTTTACTTTAAGTAAACATCACCACTATTTCTTCTGCAAATTCATTTTAATAAATGCTTAAATGCAAAACTATGACTTGTGATGGATATTATTTCTTTCTTGCATTACTACTTCTGATTAAAGAACAAAAACACATATAAGAAACAGACTGAAACCAACAACGAATGTGTAGCCAAAGCCTTATATTGCTTAAATTTATTTGTATTTAAAAACATGTTTTAAAGCATAAAAGTTTTGGTTAATCAATGATTTGTGGATAAAAATACAGAGATAAAATAATGTGATTACTGTAAATAATCCAAATACTCCAAATAGTATATCTGACCAACGCTGGAACCTTTAAGAAAGAGCCAAGTGATGCTCACCTGTTTGACCCAGGGTCGAATACCATGAGTGAGCCGCAGCTCTCTGGCTGCTCTCTCACTGGAGCCAAGAATCTGACCAACCTGCCGGTCTGAGAAGCCATCCTGCTTGGCCTTCAGCAGCAGCCCCTTGGGTACTGTGCCACTGTAGGAAAAGACAGTAAGTAAAGGTAACTATATGGCAGTTTTGCTAAACATTACAAACCTCATACCTTTCCTACAGTTTACAATTAATTGTTTTTTTTTAACTTGCTAAATTAAAAGTCAAGTTTTTTAGTGAGGCTGAATCTTTACTAAGTTTTCAGTGAAAGGTTCTTTCTTAAAAGATTTCTCTGTATTTGACTAATATGGGCATCAGGATCACTGCCAAAAACATTCCACATCATTTGCACTGAAGCAACAGTACTCTTGCTGTTTTGAGAAGTGAGTTTATTTTTGAAAAGGTTTTTTTTCCTGTCTGTGGTACTTTCAAGTCCACTGAACTAAGAGGGTCAATCCAGCAAGTGGGTCATGACTGGCTTGCCTACCGAGCGGTGTGGACAGCAGGGAACGGCCCACCTCAGAGTAATCAATAACACATCGACAAACAAGGCACTGAGGTGCCAGAGCACCAGGTTGGCAAGTGCAACCATTTAAAACCCATTTTAAATCGATAAAACTTTAATGCGAGCTGTGAGGTTAAACAGAAAAATTGTAACAGAAATAAAGTGTAGCATCAGGAGGAAATTCTGAACTGGAGCAACAGGAACAATTTATAAACTTTAAACAATTTTGCACCTGTACTTAAGTTTCATGCACTTGTATCAGTGTGTATATAGTCTATAATGCTTACTCCTATATATCTTTTTTATCTAACTGCCAACTGTGGCTGACAGGACATGATGTGAGAGAGAAGTGAGGTCAGTGAGAAAGATGATGCTAGTGAGGAGAGGATTTAAAAAATGTTTGAATTACACTTTTTTATTCTTTTATCCTCAGATAAAGTAAAAGAGATATTAGTTTAAACCAATGTATATAAAGTAACTGATGTAATTTTAAGGTCAACACGAGCCCTTTCACAGGTAATTATGAAACCAGACAGAGTGAAGGACTGTCAAAGAAATAATCAGGGATATTTCACCTGACGTGACCTCTGATGATAATTATTTATTCCTATAAAATAGAGGAAACATTCATCCTTTTTGTCAGAGCCTCACTTTTGACTTCAGTGAGAATAAAATATTATGCCTTTCTTTATTCCTTCTCACTAAATAAGCAACAACATAGTGGCAGATCTGCTTTAAACAAAAATGGCGTAGCTTTTTATTCAGATAAGATCAATCAAAATGGTAATTATATTAAACAAAGACACTTAACATTTGTGTGTTGAATACTGAGATTTGCACATTAAATGTTAAGCCCTGTTTATCACAAAGACAAGAGGCAGGGTGAAATGGCTACCTTCTGTCATGAAAAGTACTTGTAAAAATATCCCTTTCAAAAATGTTCTTGTTTACAATGTTTTATTGTATTTTCTTGCAAGCTAAACAACAATGTATCCTAAAGTTAGCTGGATTTCGTTCAGAGGAAGGAAAGTGTGAAGAATTTGCAACATCACAGTAAAGACAGGACATCTGAGATGCTGCAGTCACTGGGCTTGGTCATGAAATAGTTCCAGTGCATAAGCTATTTATTTCTACATTAAAGACATAGGAAGTATGGCAACTATGGAGTTGCTGGAGGGCTCTTTTGACAGAGTTTGGCCAATTCCCTTTGATTTCTGTTTTTGTGTCAAGTTAAACTAAACACATGAATGCATGGTGATTAAATTGATATTGGTCTTCTCATCTAACTCCCACTAAGAAAGCAACAAGCGTAATGTCGTAGGTAGAGACAACAGGAAGGAATCCTTATTTCTGGTAAACCACAAACCCCCCCCCCCCATCGGAATTATTTATGACCTTGTAGCGTAACAATATTGGAAATGTCAAATGTGTTTTAACTCCCACCGCACATGGCTGGGCTGAGAAATAACAAACCCCAGGACCAACAAAAGGGGAGAGTAGCAAGATTTCTGAGAATCACAGGAAGGAAAGAAATTTGATCTGAGAGCTTGGTTGTCTTTTGTACAATTGTACCATCTGGAAATGCAGTCTCACATATTTATAAAAACAAATACACAAACAACACACACACACACACACACACACACACTTACTGAAGTTATAAATGACAAGAACCAATTTTTGTGATTTCACGCTTTTCATTTTGTTAATTTTTCACTTAATTAAATTTGAACCTTATTAGAATGACACGTTTTGTGTGCTGTGTAATTGCAGCCCTCTTAATTGTAATTCATGTCATGCGTAGGGATTATATATTTAATTATCTATGTCCTCATATGCGGGTGTACTGTGAGTTCTGCTTCGTCTAATCAAACTTAAACCTGACATATGTCTCAAAGTGGATCAAAGTCATTTTGATATCTGCCATGTCTCTAGGGAGAAGATGGAAAAGGGTGCACCCATAATCCAGTATACCACTCGTTTTGGAAGCAAAGTCCTCTTAAGACACAAAAACTATGTGTTAAGCAAATGTCCATACAGGATATGGAATATGGTTCAGACATAATATTGATGTGGCAGACAAACATATGTTCATATATACTAAAACTGGTGTTTTTATTTGTTGACTAAGTGTCTACAATACATGGCACAACTGTAATCCTAAATGCTTTGTCCTAAACCTGAGAGTTCGTGCAAAAACACAATGAGCAGCAAGTCTCAAAAGTTTCCCCTAATTTCCATATCCCATATCTACAGTATCATAAAATGATTCAATAACAATTGTTAGTAATGTGCTCACTACTTGACCAAAGAGCAATTTTCAATTAACAGCCAATGTTTAAAGGCGGCAACAATGAAAATACGGACGGTGAAATAGATCACCTACACAATAATCCAACATTAAAAGTAACTCTTCCACAAATAAAGAAGAATACATTTTGAATATCCTTTAGTCCAAACTACAGCAATAAAAAACCAACCCTCACTCACAAACAATGAGTCTGCTGACCAGCAGAGCCTGAAGCCCACCTGTACTCAGCTCTACGCTCCATCAGTCTGGCAGCAGCCTATTGTTATGTCCCCATCCCAATGTCCCCTGCTCCAGAGGCAGAGGAGACCACAACAGCCTACTGTGCGTCAGTGAGTAACGGTGGGTGCTCACCAGGCGGCCAGCCATTAATTATTAAACAGCAGAGCCAGACGGAAGCAGCAGGTTACTTGTGGCTGAGCCATGAAAATTCACAGCAGCTTTGATTTGAGCTGTCCAGGTAAGAGCCAGAGGGCAGAGAGACTGAGGGCGGCAGCTGAGAGGAGGTGAACCACGACAGAAAAGGAAACGGACGTGAAGAGACTGCAGTTCATCTCATTTTTGGGGACCAACATTTTACGAATGAAGAATATTCAGTTATTTCTAGACAGAACTAATTCAAAGTTTCCCCCAGATTTTATCCTTTTTTTCCCCATTTTTCCGAAGCATGTGAGTCAGAAAACCTTGCAGGGCTAAGTGTAATATTCGTTATGCGGGTTATTATGTACTGTATTAGCTGTCAGGATCCTGCTGTGAGCTATCATAATGTTTGTGTTTCTGAAATGTTGTTTTGTTGGGTGCTATTCATAAACATGAAGTCATTTAAGGTTAATTGAATAATAAAGTCAATAAGAAAAGACAGTGGAATGTAAGGTTGGAGGCAATTTAGTTAAACCAGTTAAATAATACAAAAGACAACACTGAGGCGTTAGGGTTGGGGTCCAAAATGGCAAATCTTGCATCTAGCATCTAGCATTAAGCATGGACTATGTTTTCAAGGAGCATGCAATTTTTATTTTTATTTTTTTTTTGCTGAGAGCCACGCCTGGCTTATTAGATTTCATTTTCCAAGGCATATTTCAGTGGATCTCTGCAACCACCTCTCTCCAGTATTAGAAAGGGAGCAATGCTATCTCAGTGTATAGTCCTCTCCACTCTGGGATTTTTGGCCACTGCAAAATTCCAACAGAACATTGCAAATCAGGGGTCCTTAGTATGAACATCACAAATGATTCCAGACAATGAGGTCTCTCCAATTATGCTGCCAATGCATTGATCCGTAGCAGACAGTGACAAGTCATTCTGCCCTACTCCTGTTGCACTTATGTCCCTTTAGTGGATGATATTTTTTTTTAGATGTTTTCAAATCAAAACATTTCTTTTTAATTTCATTAAACTGTTCTGCACTTGGATGAGGCAGAAAACTGCTCTAAGCTGCTTTCAAGCAATTATTTTCTCTCATTTGTCAAGTCGTTGCTGAGGTTTCCAGAAAAGTATTGCTTGTTTTGCTTCCACTTCATTGATCAGAACTCCTATTTCTGCATCCAAAAAGTTTTCTTCTTTGTCTTCTTTGATTTCTCCATGTTGGCAGCAGAAATTCACGAAATGTCTTGCAGCTTTAAATGGAAGCTTTGAGACCATAGAGGTAAAAGGTCATTTAGTGCAGTTCTTTATGTATATGAGACTTAAATACCAACTTTTTTGTATTTGCAAACATTCAAAACTTTCTTTGTACTTTTCTACGCAACATTGATGAATGAGGGCCCAGGATATGAGTGAATATGGCAATGTGGTTAAAATGATTTTAGGATCAATCTGCCATTGGGGCACTAGACTGCAACTCTGCGGATGGAAGGACAGGCAGACCTGCCAACCATGAAGAAAGTCTGCTGTTGATCCCTGATGATCAATATCAATGTTGCAGACTGTGGAGAATGTATGGTGGGGAAGTCTGGAGATGCCACCATCTCTTCCGGTAACTTTTTTCTGCATTTCTGCAGCGGATGAACTCACTATCTTTTTTTTTCCCAGCCAGGGATCTCATGATCTGATCCGCTCATTACAATGACGGGTTTGTTTTAATATTATGAATACTATGAAAAGTCACATTAACCATCTGTGACACACAGACAGTGCAACTTAAATGACTGAAAAAACAGGATAGCTTGCAAATACGTAATGTTAAGCTAGCGTTAACTTAATTCACAACGTCAAATTTCCACATCTTCCTCAGTCTGTTCTGGAGTTCAAAGAACAGCCCTCACTTGAGAAACCAGCCTGCAGGAGTGCGTACCTGCTACACAGAATGCGTACACGTTGGCAGGCCTGGACAGATGGATGTTCTGTATTTTGGAGGAGGTAGTTCCACTTGACTAGATATTTTCAACCATCCACCATCCAAGTCAACAGCAAAAGAATTGACCAGTATATTAAAGACATATAAAAGTAACTCAAAAGTTACTTTGTTCGACCTAGGTGTGCATCTGTGTGTATGCGTTACCTCTTGTAGTTTGACAGGTGTTGCTCCAGCTGTGTTATCCTGTGGAGTTTGTGGAGGAACCACTTGTCTATGGCAGTCAGCTGGTGAATCTGATCCACACTCACACCACTGTGAAGGGCCTAAAAGACAGCGAGAGAAACAGGCACAGTGTTATATTTATTGTTCATCATCTTTATCAGGTTCATTATTCATGTCCCTGTTTGGAGCATTCTGATAGCAGACATCCCATAAGTTTCAACAGATTCCAGTAATCAGTTGCTTATGATTAAAATCATGTATCAGATCATTCGTTGACCTGTCACTGGAGGGGAATGGTATGGGTATGGTTATTCACAACAGTCACTGTAAGTACTATGTTTTTTACCCATCACTCCAAGTAAAATCTATTTCAGGAACAATATATTACTTTGCCAATATTGGCCTTTTATTAAAACAGCTTGTAATATGATAGAGTTTCTGCCCTGGCAACAGCTAGTGAATATGTTTTGTCATTTCTATATTAGATGTCTGACCAAAGAAATCATTCCAGGCCACCAGTGGGAGGATTTCAGTCAGCGATCTGTAAAATCTGCAATGAAATCTACCTTGCCTTTATCATAAGAAGCTGCTGATCAAGCTGCAAGTGATTACTGTGGCTTCCAGTGAAAAGTTTTAGTAATGTAATTCCAGCTGCAAATGGTCAAATACAATATGTAGCAAATGTTAAAGGCATGTTGAGTGTTGATAATGTTCTCAAGTGAAAAATCTGAGAACAAAAATAGCAGCGACATATCAGAGGTTTACATGCAATTTGCTACTTAACATACTGTATCTTATGTCCGAATAACTGCTTAGGAGGCTAAGTCTGCCTTATGGCCGTTATGACTGTTTTATTTTTTATGCTTTCCCCACCATAACACTACAATCTTGCCTCAAATGGTCTTGACCTTGTAGGTTTCAACATCAAACTGGTGGGTCCAGAGAGAGGGAAGGTTAACTGAGAGTGGCAGTGACTGTGCTGACCACCATGCAGGATTATACAGACGTGGCTGAAATTCTTTGTACCTTTCCACTTAAAAAAAAACAAAAAACAATCAAAACACAGTTTTCTCTGAAAGTTGAATCTGACAAAAGTAATTGGCATAAGCTATTCTATATTCCATATTTAATTGAACAGACATGTTACTTTTGATTCTCGATGTAACATATTTCTATAACACCACAAAAACAATGTGGACAAAACCAATATTTTGTTGGACACCCTTTTGAGACAATCAAGCACTTTAACTCTTAATGAGACATCTGCACTTCTCAGCTGGTAGTTTGGTACAACCCTCTTGAGCCAATCTGCTCCAGTTCTCTCAGGTGTGATGGGTATCTTTTCCCAACAACTCTTTTCATAGATGCTCAGTTGGATCTGATAGCAGGGCACTTCAGAACAGTCCATTGTTTTCTTCTCAACCATTCTTTGTTTTCTTGATGTTTTAAGTCATTCTCCTGTTGGAGGAGCCATGACCTGCTCTTGAGACAGAGCTCTCTCACACTGGGCAGTATGTTACGCTCCACGACAGCTTGATAATCTTCTGATTTCAATGTGCCCTGCACAGATTTGACAGACTTAACAAACTACAGTAGGGTTTTCCTTGGTTCTTTTTCCATCATGCAGCCACATCCAGGGAGATTGGCTACAATCATATGGACCTTAAATTTCTTAATAATATTAGCAGTTGTGGTAACAGGAATATCAAGCTCTTTAGAGAGGGTCTTATAGCCTTTACCTTTACCATGCTTGGCAATTATTTTCTTCCTTATCTCTTCGTTCTTTTCTCTTGTCCATGTTCAGTGTGGTGCGAACACTCATACCAAAGAGCAGGGGTACCTTTTTCATTTCAATAGGCCGAATGACTGATTATAAGTTTGAAGAAATCTTCATCACAAAAGAGCAATAAATTTCATCACTTTTCAGGAAGAACGGAGCATTGATTCAATGAGGTATAAGGGTCCCAACACTTTATGCCATGTCTGTAGCTGGTGTTTGATTGCCTGGAGATAAGATGTGGATCATTAATCCCTAATGCTGTAGCCTTCTCCACGACAGCATACTTACGGGAACAGATCTGTCTCCCCTTTCAGGACACCAAGCTCACACAGCTTTGACACTGACACGACCTCAGTCTTCCCTTCTCTCAGCTGGTGATAAAAACATATTGAGGTGCTGGACCTGCAGATGTGCTTCACCTTGTAATAGTTCATGCACCATCTCTGTGTTTGAATGATGGAGCTTGACCCTGTGTCTAGACGTGCTTATAAAAGTGCTGCTTTGCCTTCATTTGATTCTGTGAGGAAAAATAAACGCAGACTATTGGGAAAGCACAAAAGCAAACTTAGCAAAAACACATTTCAGATTATTATCAACATGTAAACATTTTTGAAAAGGCCACACTGTAAATTAGATAATCAAACACTGTTTATATGTGTTTTCCAAGTATTATGACTAGTCTGCATCAATTTAACTAAATCTACATTTTCGAGCATTTCCACACAATTAGGCATTCATAGCTATGCAAGCAGGAAGGCCAGGGACGCATTTTCCTCCTCTGCATTTCATGTTTTTTTCATGATTATTTTTCTGTAATACTTCAAAATGTGATTTTAATGAAGAACTGTAGTTGGTGTCATTCATTATTAATGCCATGAAAAATTAGTGTACCTTGGCGAGGGAGAAGATGCGGGTGCTGGAGGGCACAGCCAGCTCCTGTTGCAGGTCCTGGGTGTCAGCCCAGGCTTTCTTGAGTGGCAGCCGGGGCACGAAGCCATCCACTGATGGATGACACATCCTCAGGGCCTTCTGCACACTTTCCTCAAAGGTCCGGCCGACTGCCATCACCTGAATCCAAAAGAAGGAAATACAACACAGTAAAATACAGGTGAGTGAGCATAGTGAATAAGCAAGTGAATGAATGAGGGCGCGAGTGTTTATCCTTGGATCCTCCCTCACCTCTCCAACACTCTTCATGGCACTGCCTATTTCACGGGACATGCCCTGAAAGCGGTCCAGGTCCCAGCGGGGGATCTTGGTGACGATGTAGTCTAGACTGGGTTCGAAGCAGGCGGTGGTCTTCTCCGATACAGCATTCTTTATCTCTGGTAGGGGGATTCCCAGAGCCAGCTTAGCAGCTACAAATGCTAAGGGGTACCTGTGAGACAAAGACCAAGCAGCAGGATGACCAAAATCAGTTAATGTCGGAAACTAGTTAAAAAGTTAAAGTTCTGTAACACATAAACATTTTTATGATCATCAAACTGATGATCCTGATTAAAACTGTAATGTTGTTTTGACGCCCATATTTTGTTCTACTCAAAACTTCCAAGATCTTTCTGATGTTGTAAAATATTTAAACTCCAAATTTATCCTTTTATATTACTTCACAGTAATATAAGGGCTAGGTTCATTTAGAGAGTTACTTTTTAAATTCTTAATCTCTGTCTGACTTGATACAAACTCCAAGTAATCAACTGTGTGAAAAAAATGGAATCAACAAAATGTTGCTGGTCTTGCTGCATTAAGTGATTTGAAGTTTTTTAGAAAACATTTTGATATAAAACTTTACTATTATAAGGGACTGTGTGGTTGCTGCGGATTCCATTTTAAATGACACAATGTTAAGACTGACTTTAGTCACTTTCTCCATGGCAAACCACAAACAGTTTTAAAACTTTCAAGACTACAATAGGTAAATGTTCGATAACTAAAAAGATATCCATGGAAAATCAGTTTAAAACACATCTGATCTGAGAAACTATTCACTTCCAGCCTAGCCAAAGAAATTTTCCTACCAGTTAACAAAGTCTGCATGCACAGTTTAATACTGCAATGTGAGTTTCAGATCTAAAAATATGGCGTCATGAGAGTGCTACAGACTGAATATAAGACAAACTGCTTGTCATAGTAAATGTGGTGGCATTTTAACTCCTTTCAAGTTCTTTTTAGAGACGATAAAACCTTATGTGACACAGATAAGATGAGCAGGCCTAACAACTAAGCTGTATGGAGAAGTCCAAACTAGACTTAGACTTTAGACCTTTCCAACATCTTGTATTTTCCTTTGTTTGTGCCTTGTGTTCGAATGGATGAATTCTCTCACCCAGTGGCTTTGGATGCCAGAGCTGAGCTTCGCGAGAGCCGGGCATTGACCTCAATGATGCAGTACTCCAAGGATGATGGGTGCAGGGCATACTGGATGTTGCATTCACCTACAATGCCAAGGTGACGGACCACTTTGATGGCCGTCTCACGGAGCATGTGGTACTCCTCGTTGGACAATGTCTGGCTTGGTGCCACCACTATAGAATCACCTAAAGAAGAAGAAGAGGGGTTAGAGCGTGAAGTGACTTTAAACGACATTAACAGTCTCTGAACTTGGTTTTGGTTGATGAGACAGTGGTAGGAAAATGAAGACAAGAGATATATACATTTTTGATACAAAACTAATCTGCTTACATATAACATGAAGCAAGAAAAATTTGTCTCTCATTTGGATTTAAAACTGAAAAGAACCAATTTCCAAGTTTGTAAAATCAATGTGCAACAAAATAATTTTACAACTGGCAACCTGTAAAATTTGTTCTGGAACCTTTTAATCTGTTGGATTCTATAGAAGAATCTCTGGGCCTAGAAAGTATCACATTTCAGATAAACAACACAGCTGTCTGTTTATCCCTCGGATTTTGTGAGGAGCACTCAAACCGCCTTTAATCTTAGGTATACCTCAGTCTAAACAAGCTGTGTTGTGTGTTTGTTGGCTGTGAGAACTGAACTAAACCCAAAGGCTTAAGTTTGCCGCTCTTGTATCGATTTTCAGTGCTTTTCTTGATCTACAGAAACAAGACAAAGGAATAACACAAGGACCACAGCTGTCTAAAACATATATATGATCTTGCAAGGTACACAGTAAGTTTGGTCATCATGAATAACCTGCTTGCGTTGAAAACAACAGAAAAGAAAAAACAAACAAAAGTGAATCAAACACATCAGACATCAACAAAAAACACAACAGAGTACAGGAAATAATAACACAAAACAGAGCCTAGTAAGAGTTTGTAGTAGTTTGAGGAACACATTAATATGTAGTATGTACTGTATGCTTGGTACCTGTGTGAATGCCCAGTGGGTCGAAGTTCTCCATGTTGCAGACGGTGACACAGTTATCAGCCACGTCTCTCACCACCTCATATTCCACCTCCTTCCAGCCCAGCAAAGACTTCTCCACTAGGATCTGACTGCTCATGGCCAGAGCCTACAATTTGCATTGAATACAGGCATCTACATTAACCTTTAAACAGTGAGTAGACACAATAACATGAAACCCTGTACAATTTCATTCAGTACAATAGCTCTGCAGTGTAAATACTAGAATTGGAAAGCTTAAAATGAGGGGTAGAACATTTGAATTTTGAGTATTAACCTACTAAGTAATACTTACTGTCAATGTGCAGTGTGTAACATTTGCATGTAAACCATGCTGAATGTAAACAATGTAACCCCTCTACTGACTTTAATTATAATAAATGGGTCTTGTGTTTTTTGTGTTTTTTTTTTGTTTTTTTTTTTATTTACTTCATTTTAAATGTAATATTTAATATTTTAAATTTAAACTTATTTTACAAGGACATGTACAGTTTCTAATAGGACATGGGATGAATAATGTTTAGGAAATGTTGTGCCTTTCATTTTGTATTTTTGTCATAGACTAGACAAACACCTTGTGAACTACACCTCTGCCATGTACTTTATACAAACCAGCTGAACAGCCACTGACCATAACTGGTAAAGGAACATTTGCCATTGAAACTACTGAGGGATACATCAATAACTCATTTAAAATGTCAGATGAGTAAAGCAGTAGAACATACTGTATGGCATGAAAAGGTATGTACCAATCTAAAACAGTCTAGCACAAACAGTTCATTTTGCAGCCTCTGATCACAGATTAGAACCAACTGAGCTGTCACATATAATGCTGGATACTGGACAAGCACAAGAGAATGTTGCTTAGCAACAGCAAACTATTCCTTTCTTGGCAGAGGACCAAAGAAAACATATCTAAACTATTTCAGAGCTTTTATCTTTGTGAAGGTTTATGCTGTAAACAAAAGTGAAGGTATAAAACTAAAAAAGTTTATAAGTAAAAGTCTGGGTAAAATGCCTCAACTGCTGATTTGACCAGAACGACTGATCTAATGACTGATGACTGACTGAAGTGTCATGTAAAAAAATACAGACATTAATGATAATAACTGAACCCAGATGCCTGCCATCCCTCCTGTGAAGACTTTATTCTGACCTTGTGGGCGGTTTCCTCGAGCTTTTCTTTGTTGGCACACAGACCAGAGCCCAGACCTCCCAGGGCATAGGCCGATCGTAACATCACTGGGTAGCCAATCTGCTCTGCTGCTTTCAAGGCATCAGACACCTGAAGTATGCACAAAAATATTAGATTTCACAAAAACGGTCACACATCAAAATATATGTTCATGGAGAATATGCTCAGGAAGTGACCGGGTATGTAGACATTAATTGCCACTACTATGAAAGTAGTATCCACGTTTGTTTGTTTTGTTGTTGTTTGTGAGTGATCTTGTATCCTCACCGACTCAACAGCGATACTTGGTGCGATCTTCTCATTGATTTCCATCAGTTTGTCAGCAAAAAGCTGTCTGTCCTCTGTGGCCATGATGGACTCCACTGGGGTTCCAAGTACCTTCACCCCATACTTCTCCAGGACGCCGCGCTGGAACAATTCTACTCCTGAACGGCACACAAACAGATTCACATGGTATAAAACAAAGCCATAAAAAGACGAATGAACATAAGTTAGACGAAAATTCACCTAATATTACATATGTCATTTTAGTGAATGCTTTTTACCAATGCCACACAATTAGTGTTTTCCCCTACTTAAAAGATCTACACAGAGAATTCAACCAAATCCGCTATCTCACATATCCAAGCACACAAGTGCATGTCTTACCACAGTTGAGTGCAGTCTGTCCACCCATGGAGAGCAGGATGCCATCTGGACGCTCGGTCTTGATGACTTCAGTTACAAATTGTGGTGTAACAGGCAGGAAGTAGACTGAGTCGGCCTGCTTGGTGCCCACCTCGTTGGTCTGAACCGAGGCTATGTTTGGGTTCATGAGCACTGTCTTTAGATTCTCCTCCTACAACATGTCCACTGGGTTAATTATTATAACCTTTGTAAAAGAAAACTTGTCTTCAGTGTTACTTTTACAACATTCATGTCTTTCATTTTAAATGTGCCTTTGTGGGTTTTGACCCTTTTTCACAGCAGATATTTTGACTTGTAATAGAAGGAAAAAAATACTTGTTGCTAATAACATTAAAGAGGGCGCTGCTTGGTTCAAGTGAACCAGCCATGCACAACGTCAGGTCCTTCAAACCTAAGCAGCTAAAAATAACTCAGCCAATATTCATTGTACTATTTACACCTGTGCTGTTCTTCCTGTGACGTGTCAAAATGTCTCCTGTGAAAAAGGCCTATTTATTCCATTTCAGGGACTAGAATGGGTACCACGCAGCATGCACAACAAATTGTTCAAACTGCTGTATAAAAGCTCTTCTGAAGGTTTTCAGAAAAGTCAGTTCTAAATGTTAAAGAATACTGCAACAATCAATTCAGTTCAGTCTTAACTCAGCAAACACATTAAAAGAGACTCATCCATCAGTACACAGAATGAATAAAATAAATCTATTCATCAATTAGAAAAACTGGCATGTACTGGCACTGGAAGATCTCTAATGTCATTCTTAAGAACAGGTCACAAATACATTTGTAAAAAGGGTAAGTCATTTTCTTAAATGCTGGGCAGTAGTTTTAACCAAATATTACTAAAAAAAAAAGAGTAAGAGGCATTTACTGGAATCCATTTTTTTGCACACATTAGTGCACCAACATGTATTTATTGTGATTTTACTAGTTTTTGGAAAAAATGGAGGTGTATGGAAGAGAGGAATAAGGTACATAATATCAGCTACAGTATATCTGATGTAACATACAGTATATCAGGATAAATGATACATTTAAATGGCCACTGACCACAATGCTGATAAATGAGGTCATTATGACAAATCATTGGACATGATGTGATGTAATGATGTGACATTAGTCTTAGTCTTCTCATATTACATTGAATATTACATTGATGTTGGTTGATATCCTCCTCTACAGGAAGATACATATAAAAAAAACATAAGCAACCATCATTCACAGCCATTTTTGAGAATAATGGAATATGGTTTTGGCTACAGAAAATATCCAGAGTGCATCAGGATGTTGTGTTATCTCTTACCTTCATGGCCTTGACAGCCTGAGATCCTGAATAGTCAAACTCTCCAGCCTGACCAATAGAAAGACCACCAGAACCAAGGACCAGCACCTTTGACACCTACATTAATACAGATAGCCATTGACCACAGTGATTAACTGCATGTAACAAGGTAAATAAAACAGGAACTATGCAGCATGAAGCTCCATCTGTAATTAAGTTTTAACTAACAAATACATTCATGCCTTTCTCAGTGCTCACATGGTCTCCCTGATGTAAAACTCTTTAATATACATACAGCATAGTACTGAGCAGCATTTTAATGAATTGGAAAATTATAACTTCCTGTTATTTAAATGGAATTCACTTATGGATCATCATGGTCTGGTGGCCTACTTATTCTATATATCTTGGTTTTGCTGTAAAGTGGTCTGATAACCTTTTACACCTTCAAAGGGTTAATAATTCATGTGTACCACAGCTAAAATCATCTGCTGCTCAAAAAGTTCAAGGCAAACCTGCTGAACCTGTGTGACATGCTGTACCTGGGCTCTGGGAGGGATTGTGGGTTTCTTGGGCATGACTGACACTAGGTTAGCGTCCTTTCCTTTCTTGATCAGGGATATGAAGGCATCAAAGAGGAACTGTAGAAACAGAGAAAAAATTTACTCTTTACTCCAAAAATGTAGTCCGTATAAATCGACAGAAAGCCCACATAGAGGAACATGTTGGCATCTAATTAAATATATCATTTAAAATCATTATAAAGTATATATATATATATATATATATATATATATATATACACACATATATATGTATATATATGTATATATATGATCATACCTTCTTGTTTTATTTGTGCTTTACTTGAGTATTTATAATTTGAATCATATTTATTTTTTTCCCCAATATATTTTTCATGTTGAAATATATTGGTACATATAAAGCAGCTTGAAGATAAGGTTCACATTTCGAGAGAAGTACATGATACAATGCATTTTTTTCCTCTGCCAATCAATGATAATAAAGTCAATACTTTGTTTCAGACTACAAGTGACTGATAACACCAAGACCCTGAGAGTGACAATGTAAAAACGTGTGAAATGATCTAAGATCTATACAAACTAATCAGTGTCAGTTACAATACAGTAACAAGTTAGGCTGCAGTAAAATGAGTCACCTGTGGTAACTGTGTCTGTTCTGTTATTGATGTGTGCCAACTTGTCAAGTTAAACTTGTTTTTATGACACACTGTAACTGGGTAAGACTATTTTTTGACAGACAGGCAAACTTCCACTTAGCACTTAATAGTTTCTCAATGTCTGAAACAAATGCATTAAAAAACAATGCACCTCCCTGCAAGTCACAGGTAAAAAAAAAATTTGTCATGGACACTGTGCAAGATTTTTGTGACATCTCCAGGAGTTAAACCCAGGTGGAAGGCAAGAATTCTCCAACTGAGCTGTCAGCTGTATATTTTGGTACAGAGGACGAGGCTTATTATTCTGCTTTAATATGACAGAGGTTACAACATATACTTTGACCAGGACTTGAACTACAGTCCTTGCTTACCACGTGGGAGACTGGAGCACAGAACCATCAAAGCATTATTGCAGGGAAAAGGACAGGCACTATTAGTGGTCCTCGTAAACACCTGAGCCCTGGTGCAACACCAAGGCCTTTACACAATATTGTCTGGTTGGTTTGTTTGTTTGTTTGTTTGTTTGTTTGCTTGCTTAGCTATTTTAGAGTAAACCTGAAAGTGTTCAACAGCTATCAGCTGCTGATACATTACATTGTTGTTCATTACTGATTTTATTTCAGTGCAAATTCAAATTTTAATGGTAGCTAAAGCTTATTACCCAAGTTTGCTTATTTTTCTGTTGTTACACATTTACCCTCTAAGTTTTCATCATTACTTCTTTTCCTGTTTTTTAATCCTCTTTTATTCTTAGCCTGCTATCTAAATACCAAATAACTTATCCAGGCTACCATTCAATGCAAGACTTCAACTTTCACTTAATCTGCATCCTGTGATTTTACCTTTACTCAGCTTTAGTATAGTATTCAGGTGCTTTATGCATCACTATCAAAGTCTTTAATTACCTCTGTGTCTGTGGGACCACCTTTAGCCTCCGGGTGGAACTGAGCCGTGAAAACAGGTTTTGTGTTGTGCATGATGCCCTGCAAAATATGCACAGTTGATATAAGGAAACTAAAAGAAAGCCAGCAGTATTTTACATTTCTGAATTTAATCTAGCAACATCTCCTAAAAAAGTGAGTCACTCTAAAATGTTATTTTGTAAACAAACATTTAAAGACCCAATATGGAATCTTTTTGCTTGACTGCACTTATTTTATGAGAGAAACTTGTACGTTTTACCCAACATCCATAAACAAAAATATCAATATACAATGTTGTTTCAGCAAAAGACACAGAGTGAAATCAACCTCATTGGTGCCATCATTGGCGTTAATGAACAGCGGGCTCCACCCTGGGGGCAGGGACTCGCTGTCTATTCCGTAGCCGTGGTTCTGTGCTGTAATGAAGGCCTGGCCCGTCATCACATTCAGCACTGGCTGGTTCTGGCCTCTGGGGAACCACAGATATACATAAAACACAGTCTGTGTTTTATTGTTTTTTTTTATGGAGACAAGATATCAAAAGTCCTAAAAATGGATAAAAACCTTCCATCACACTGAGTACCATACTAAACCACAACAGTGTCTGTGTCCACAGAGACTTGAGAGAAATCTTCATGAACATGCTTAAGGACTGTGCATATTGTTAATCATTATTCGTAACTATGCTTAGTCATTTACAAGCTCACCTGTTGCCCATAGGTAGTTTATATGACATAGCTCCTGCAGCCAGAGCAGTGATTTGGTTTCCCATACAGATTCCAAACACTGGCTGGGGACGATCACTTTCCAACACCTACACAGGACAAAATGTATACAATAACTATTTATGATGGGATAGATTGTGATAGAAATATAACGTTTTGCTTCTTGTGCATAGCTCTTTTTTTTTTAGGGTGCTGTAATTTCCAGAGGAAATAAGGTTCCTAAATGAGACAAGTTTGAATTTTACTTTCTGTAAATAAAAATGGGGAAAAAGGTCAGATTATCCTTCAGTACAAATACAGAATATTGTTTATTGCTCACCTGTAAATTGCTTCTCTTTGTGGCCAAATTTCACATGTTGTACAAGCATAGACTAAAGTTGTAATTCCTCTGATGTTCAAAATATATAAAAAGCATCATGACCTACCTTGCTGACATTCTGGACGAGTGTATTAGCCAGAGACGGATCTCCCGGTCCATTGGAGATGAACAGGCCATCGTATTCTAGACTCAGCAAGTCTTGGTCCCATGGTACAAGGTGAACCTCTGCACCCCTCTGCACACAGACAAACATTCTGTAGTCTTCTGACATGGATCTTATGATGGTCATGGTAATGTGGATTCAGTCACAACAACATTGTTTTACATAAATTTAACACCAGTTCAGAATGTATTCCTCTAGTTGTAAGCATATATGTAACAGGTGTTGTTATTGTAAATGACACCAAAAAAACCCATGATTAATGAATATTCTGACAGACAGTTACAGAGATGACCCATGCTGACTAGCCAAAATACCCATACATTCAGTATTTATAATGAATGATGGCCAGAGTTCATAGACTCCAAAGTTCTCAGACAGTGACAACATTCATAATATGATTAAAACCTCTTATTTTCTCCTACAAACTCTGCCCTCAAACCATAAAAAAAGAGAACCAAGAAGTGAAAAATCATTACTAATTTTACTTACTCATTCTTAATTTGCCAATTGTTTGACAAATGAGAATGTTCAGACAGCCAAACACTTACCAACAAACCAATAAATAGCAAATAAATGAAAATAAGTTATATGATAAATAGACAAAAACTTCTATTGCTATAGAAGTCTGCAGGCTGCTTTTCCTGAGTTACTATTACAACCAATTGCAAGCTAATATCAACATTATAAATAACATAAAACCATTAACTAGAGCATAAACAAAAGGGAAACCCATGTTCTGTTACAGCTGGATGACACAAATAAACACTACAGAATGATTTCTGGGGCTTGTTAGACCTAACATTACTTATCTCAAATTTTCTAGGTCAGGTTGCAGAAAACATGCGACAAAGTGTCGATTTCTTTTTCTATATTTGTGCAGAGAAGGTTCATTAGGGGTTCAGCCATAAAAACATCAAGTGTGTAATCTAATGAGGACGCACACTGAACACCAAGAAGGTTTGTTTTGGGGGTTTTTTACGCATTCTGCATATTCTCTCTCACCTTAACCAGCAGGCGAATGATGTTATGTTTAATACCACAGTCAACGGCCACCACTTTGATTGGATTTCCTTTTCCAAAAATTTTGGTTTCCTGATAGGTGGGGGGACACACAGCAAGAGTTTAGCACTCATCAACACTGTTTATAGACAGAAAAAATGTGCTTTGAGTACCTGATGTAATGGGCACAATAACTGTCCAATAACTGCTAAATATAAAAGGTAGCAGCTGTTACCTTGGTTGAGACCTCTGCTACCAGGTTTTTCTGGTTGGGATCAGATATTTCAACAGGCTGCCCGTCAAATTCAATCTTGCCCAAAACTGTGCCCTGAAACCACAAGCAAATTTTAAACACTGAGTGGTCAAGCCATCCATTTACAAAAGAGGCCGTAGATTACAATTTTGTATTTACAGTACCTTGTCTCTGATGACCTTGGTCAGCATTCTGGTGTCTATCCCAAACAGCGCAGGAACCTTTAGAGAAGGAAAATTTTGAAAATTTACCAACAGCAGAATCCTCTTCACTGCTCTGACACTACCCCAGGTACTTTGCAATCTGACTCCTCACCTTCTCTTCTTGTAACCATTGACCCAGAGACTTGACAGAGTTCCAGTGGCTGTACTCATGGCTGTAGTCTTGAACCAGAAGACCGGACACCTAGAAGCACCAAAGCACAATATTAGCCTTAAAAAAAATGTCCATTAACTGCATCTCCCCCTAGTATGTGTACTGTGTGGTGTCAAGAGCTGCCACAAAATACTAAAATGTGTGTGAGCATGCCAGCATATCCTGAGCATGTGAAACAAGAAACAGAGAAATCCCATTTCTTATACATGTCAGTATCAGCTAAAATCTGTGTAGTGCACTAAGAACACTCTGCTGCTTACATTGTCTTTCATTACAGAAAAACTGCAACACTACAATGCTGTTATTACCCGTAGAGCAGCAACGAACAAGTATTTTCATCAGCTAATCTGCCAATTACCTTTTTGGTTACTGTATTTAAATTGTAATCTTAGAGATTTCAATCCTGGTTGATTTGGCAACAGCTGTGATTAACATGGTAATAGCAAGTACAATGTAATAGTATGACCAAACACTCCCTGAGCAGCAACCTTATCATAAGTGTAACAGAAGAGTAGCTGGTGTATCTGTTTACAGTAAAATCAAACAAGCAGCAGCAACCTGATGAATGAGTGCAGTACCAACCACAGTGGCAAACATGCTACATTTCCTGTGGCTGCTTCACAATAAAAGCCACCACATGTTTTGCCTGTTTTGCTTTAAGTGTGAAGTAGTGGCACTATGATGATTCTGTTTGCATTAGCAGCAACTTAGTATAGCTCTGACAGTGTAAAGACAGTGAACCGTAAACAGTGAAGCCGATATGAAAGAGATAAAATTGCAATAATTAGGTAGACAATCTGAATCCCGCACAGGAATAGCGGGCCCCGCCACTACCAATAAAAACTACTATATAGAGAGCTCATAATTGAATGCATTATTGAATACTTTAAACCATAAATAGTATCAAAAATAGAGTTTGATTTGATGAATAAAAGAGGATTTCAACTTTAACAGATAAAGCTTTTTGTCTACAAAATGTCAGACAATTGTGAGAAATGGCCATTACAGATTCTAATAGTTCATTTTGTCCAACTAACAGTCCAAAAACTAAAGGGTATTTAGGTTGTTGTCGTAGAAGTTTGGAAAAGAAGCAAATATTCACTTTTGAAAAGCAGACTAGACCTGTCACATTTTGGCATTTTTGAATTAAAATGGCTTACCTAATCAATTATCAAAATCTCTGTCCGTCAATTTTCTGTTGACTAATCAATTAATCAACCAATAAAATATTCTTTGGACAAAATAAAATCAAAACGACACAATGGTGCAAAAACATGAAAGGACGAATTAATAAGAAATGAAATGCAGGACTGAGGTATCCACAAACCCTGAAAGCTCCAAACCAAAGTTTCCTACCTGTATGCGATCTGACTCCACATGCTTTCTCAAGCCCAGCTCATCCAGCTCTTGGGTGTTGGGTACTCCATAGTTCCCTACGATTGGGTAAGTCAGGGTCAGGATCTGACCTCTATAACTGGGGTCAGTCAGGGCCTCAGGATACCTACCGTAGGGGAATGGCAGAACAAATATTCCAGGATTTTAGAACGTGTGAGACTGATATATTGGTATTGAAAGGTAATGTCAAAAAATCTAAATGGCAAAATATTTACAGTTTTTTTCTATTTGCTTTTCCTAAAATTTGAACTGCACTCATTCAAGTGCACTATTTTGTCTAATCTAATGAAGTTTGATTTATGTCAGGATGTCTCCTCCTTACCCCACCAGGCCAGTATTGAAGACTAGTTCCCCTGCTACTGAGGCATCGTGCCCAAAGGAAAACCCTTTCATCCTGGTGCCATCCTCCAAAACCAGGTGGGCAGTCTGGGCCTGGCAGTTAAAAGAGAGCAGACAGATGTCGAGCAAAATCTGACCCAAGAATAATGCATTCCTTTTTTATGAAGTGAATTTGGAAAGACCAAAGGCAAAACTTTGATGTGTTGTAGACTATGAGTTTAGGTGTGATGGCAAGCAGTGAGCCTCTGGGACTTCATGCTGAAACTGCAGGCCACTGTGAATTGTGCTGTGAATGCTGAGACAGACATTGCTGTTCATCTGTTCTGTGTGTGTGTGTGTGTGGGTGTGTATGTGTATGTGTATGTATGTGTGTGTGTGTGTGTGTGTGTGTGTGATAAATATGTGAATATATAGATTGCTGCAAGAGTCCTCTCCTCAAATACATTATAGAGAGATAAAAATGTTCACATACTGATACACACACTTTTGATGTAACCAATGCATTATGACTATAAAGATATTTTTCATGCTCAATAGTTGAACCGACACTTAAGCATCAACCAGAACTCTGAGTGTGTGGGATTTCTGGTATTGAAAGTCGGATTTTGCAATCAGGCTGTTTCATGATGCAATTCTCACTATAATCTACACTTATGATGGATACGAGTCCAGCAGCTGCATGCTACACAACCGCTGCGATAGCAGAATGAAAAGCTCATCAACTATAAGAGCAAAATTCCTTTTGAAACTTTTTTGCAAGCTGACAATCGCCGCTCCAAACTGCACTTTAAAATCTGGTACTTTACTGCGGTTTTACTAAATGACAAAACCACCTACTTTATATAATTGACTTCCTACGTTTTTTTAAATTGCGCATAGCCATGTGTCAATCCGGTATAATGACAAAGCACAAGTCAGACCATTTTTCAACACAATTCCAACTCTTTAAACTGGCTAACGCTACCACTGTGCTACCCACCATGCTCTGTTTCTGATGCAAGACCGGTTAAACCTGTAAACGGTAAACTACAGCTCAAGTTTAAATAATGCTCAAATAATAACTGTTCGTTCTGTTGAACCTATGCCGAATAAAGGAGTGGCCTCTGGTGTTTTTATTAAATAGGAAGTAATAACTTTCTACATGTGTGCACATTCGTGTATAGGCAGGGATCACAGAGTTCACAGGTTTCTCTCTGGAATTCGGCCTGGAGCTCAGAGGCATACCGCTGCGTTAGCGCTCAATTGGCGACACTTCCGAGAAAGTCTTGAAAAGGCTAATTTCTTCCATTTAACGCTGACAACAACGGTTTTCACTCGCACGCCGTTTTCTTACCTTCACACTAAAAAGTTTGGTAGTCTGAAGTCTCAGCCAGGCCGACGTGTTACCCACTCTCCTGCCAACCACACATCCTTGTCTCAGAGATTTAACAACGTTGCAAGCTAACAGAATTTTTGTCATATTAGCATAAAGTTACCGATATAAAAATGTAAGTAAATACACTGTCTTACAACCTGCTGACTGTACAACTACGAGTAAAATTTCGTTGAAAGACAAATGAATGATTGAGTTTTGGGCTGCCCCTCGTGTCCTCAGACAGTTCAACGGAGAGCTCGAATAGTTGATCAGGATTGGCCGCTGGAGCGTTGTTTTTCTCAACTCATGAAACGCACAGTTTTTAGATTGGTCTTCAGATAAACGCCTATTTTTTTTGTCAAATGAGAGGGATGATCCTGATATTCACATCTGTTTAAATGACAAAACAAACATGATTGTTAAGTATGAACAATGAAGTGTTCTGCAGGCCAAATAATTTAACTCTTTCTGGTGTGTCATAATGTTAACCTTTCAAACTGAATAGCTATATATCCACAGTCACAGTACCAGATTTTGATATTAGTTTACCAATAGATTATGTGTTGAGTTTGAGGCCTGAAACATCAAGCAGCTTTTGTGTGGAAAGTTATCACATTTTATTTCATACCTTCATTTTAAACAGCTTTCATTCTGTTTCTACACTGATGCTACAAAAGAAAAAAAAATCTGCAGTCTTCTTTAAAAAATGTCTGCACATGAGGAAATATTGATTACATAAACAGCCTAAATTTTTGTGCATTGAAAAGAATCTAAAGGGAAATGCAGGTCAACTGGGAATGACTGTACCTGCTTACAGCAAACTTTTGTGTGTTGCTTTCTGTGCAACAAACTCTTTACAGCCTTTACAGCCTTTTTCTTTAGGGTCAGTTGCCTGCAAAAAAAGGCAAACTGGCCATGGACAGGCTCCATGGTGGTGGGATTAGAGTGGTCTGTGTATTTGCTGATCACTGCAAGACCGGTCCTCTGTGGAGAAGGCTGCCTGACCGCTACTCTGCTGGGTTCAGCAGTCTGAACAAAGTGGGTGTGAGTAATAGGACCTGTGCAGATCAGGAAATACCTCCACTCTCCAGATGTCTGACTTGGAACAATACACTATATAACTATGTCACTCTGTAAAAGCTATGATGCCATTTGCAAATCTTCAGCATTAAAAATGAGACTAGAGACAGTGTGTCAATAAGTACCTTACATTTACATTTAAATGTTCTGCATATAACATATAGGCTACTGTATACATATATGGTACAGCCTAATTAATTTGTGTCTTCTGTCTTTATTTTTAAGTTTAGCTTTATATTGATCCTCTGCATTTGCTTAAACTAACGCCCCCTTGCTACAATCAGATCTTGTTACTCTCGTCCAAATTTAGCCCCAGCTCCTCTTCTTCATCTGCGGAGCAGTGGTGACATCCAGTGGTGATTTCTGCTCAAAAGATTCAGAGGTATTTTGAGTTAGTAAACACTGATGTAGAGGCACACATGATGTGTAGGTGACAGTGCAGCCCTATATATATATGAGTATACATCAACAGCTGAGAGGCCCCTTGTATCATTTCACTGCCAGCTATAACGGCTTTAGAGGTGATGTGACACCTACACTGAAGTCTCTATGTAGACCACATATGCATATGTATCCTATGTAGGAAGTGATGCATCAAAGTACAGGATCACTTAATGTGTCTTCATTTACACTGCTGTCTAAACATGATTTGTTATCCACTTATCATCATCACTTTGGTAAAAGAGTTGATACTGTGGCTCTACTGTGCCGATGTTAAATATCCAGCAGTGTCCTGGTGTTTTTGGTTGAACAAAATATTCAAGAGGGTTGAGGTACACAGGCCAATAGTAAATCATTTTCTGTCTGTCTGTTTGTCTATAATCTATGATGACTAAAGTTGATCTAAAATTCACAGTAGAACACCATAAAATCCAGACTATTTAGCCAGACTGATAATTTACTGTCTGTGACTGTGGCTGATGCTTTATCTTAACTTAAGCTAAGCTAAATTTAATGTTCATTACATGCATTTTCTTTTTTGGTTTGCCTTTGCCCCTCAAAATAAAGCATGTTACATACATACATATTTCTTTTTATGCCATTTTATACTTTCAAAAGACAAATATGAGCAATCCAGGAGTTAGCTGAGGTTTGTACCAGAGCAGAGCCCATTAGAGAGATGATAGTCAAACATGATGGCCTGATGATATGAACTTCACTCTGGGGGTTAAAATGATGCACTTATAGAAGAAAAGTAGATGAGAATGTAGATCTGAATCCTCTAAAAGAGGCCATGAACACGTTTAGCTACAGCAGGGGTGTGGAATGAAGAGGTGATGTTTAACATTAGCAAATTCAGCCCCTGTGCTCAGCCTCTCCTTGCTCTGCTTGATCTAGCTAATTTAGGTTAACTTAAGTAACTATACTAACTCTCACCTTCTCTTAATTTGGCTTCAGAAACTGTCAAAACGCAGACCCCAGTACACACTCTCACTCTGCTCTCTTTTATTTGCAAACACATATAAGATTTAGACATTTGAAAATCATGCAATATAGCTACTATTATGCCGAGCTTAATAATATGAATCATATGAAGCTTTCTTAATATCTGAAAGGTATTCCCTTATATACAGTTTCACACAATATTGTCACCCTATCTATCTACACTGGAATAAACTCATAAGAAAGCTTATTTTAATAAATAATATACTTAATAAACAGACAATTTCTTTTTCTGTTGACTGTTTGAAATAGTTATGATATGCCCTCAAAACACAGCCCCCAGCCCTGGCTACTTGTTGTAAATAATGACAGAATCACATACAATGGAAAATTGCTGGGTGATGATTGGGAGAACATGAGAAGCCTGCGCAATGCACAGCATGGCCCTTTATTACTGGGAGGGCTGTGATTAGCCGCCTTCTACATTCCTCCACTGATTGGCTCGGGTACGGCCTAATGAGCTCCAGTGTCTGTCCGCGGTGGAGAACCCCCACATTGTCTGAGGTTTCAAGTGTGAGTCTCAGATGGTGACCGAGCTTAAGAGAGGACGTAAATAGACAGGCTCCCTTTGCTGCTCTCTTTGCCAGGTTTCCAAGCACGGTCTTGGTCCTGAGATGAAAGAAAAAATAGATGTTTAATTTCAAGGATCTATGATGGTGCTTGTTCAGTGTGAGATCAGACTGATTTAAGAGATTAAAGATACATTTTGTATGTTATTCGAAGGCATGACAGAATTCAAAGTGCTTTACATGAGACATAACCAGACTGGAGAGTAAGACTTACAGTGCAGTGCAAGATATGAGAGAATAGTAGTTAATAATAGTTACACATTATAATAAAAAAAAAAAAAGAGAGTGGCGAATAGAAACATTTTAAGCCTTGATTTAAAATAACAGAGCCCGCCTCTCCATGCCTAGTTTTGACTCTAGAGACTGATGATCTGAGAGGCCTGGACGGTTCATGGGTGCATAGGTGCTTGATTTAAACCAACAATGGTAGTTTAAAATCAATTCTCTGACAAACCCGAGCCCTGTGCAAAACTGTGCAAACCATGTGATGTGGTCGACCTTTATAGTTGTTTAAATCTTATTTTATTCTGTAATTACACCCTTTTTTTATTTTACACGTCATACTAATATTATTAATAGTACTAATAATGGCAGTAGTGATATAGTAGCTTCACAGACCAGGAGTAAGTCCATTTCTAAATAATGAATAACTTAAAACTTTATTAAATATGTATATGAGATATGTAAATTATTGTTATTCCATTTAATCACCCTTTGCATGAATCTAATTAATCCCTGGAAGTCTCTATAATTATCACAAAGTGCTTGACGCAGGCCTCCATAACTGTGATGGGGATAACGTGTATCACCATCTTTAGAATTGTACTTTGCTCCCATCCTGGTTCAGCGTAACAGTATGTGCTGTCATGTTAGAAGAAGACACTCACACAGCGTCACCATCTTTGCTTTGAGTGATGACAGTATGATTGTCTTGACTTCCACAGCAACTTTAGCTTCCACAGTGTTAAAGGAGGATCAAGTCATCAGCTGGAGAAAAAGAAGGAAGAGACTGTCCCTTTAGGACGCTATCGGATTCCCTTCCTCTGCAGTGATGTAGTGTCCCCAGTAAAAAGGGCAGCGAGTGGCTTTGTTTAGCCTGCCCCCATCTAATCCCTGTGTGGCCAGTGAAGGGCTTTTGAGAGAGCGAGGGAGGGTAAGAGAGCACGCAGGCCACAGAGACTGTATCAGCCCCCTTAAGGAGCCATGGCCCCCGCTCTTAGAAATCCCAAGAAACTTCACACCTCTCTGTAGGGACTATAAATAGGCTCCATCTGTCCCCCCAGGCTCAGTTACAGCCTCATTCCTTTTGGCATGGTTGGAAGGCAGGGAAGGAAGCACTCAGGGTTTGAAAAAGGGGGGGTTGGTGGACAGAACCAGAGTCCAAAATCTACTCTCTAGTCATCACAGATGGCTGACTGGGTGACCTCTGCTACATGTTTGGTGGCGAAGGAAGTTCATGTGTGCTCTCTGTCATTTCCTTCATCACAGCAACCCTCCAACTCTCCACTGAGGCAAAACGCCAGTGACCTAGGAGCCTCCGCCATCTTTGGAATCATACACCACATTGCACTCATCGCATGATTTTTTTTTCTCAAGCTCAGGTTCTTCACGTTTCATTAATCATACTTAACATAGGATGACTCCAAAATTAGGACATCAGGCACTGTGTCTTAAAATCACTGCCTCTGTCTCCTTCACAGAATCTTAATTGCACATCTCACAATTTCAGGGGTTGATGTTTTAGTCTTGGTTCTGGTAACATGAATGTCATTTCTTCTGTTCAGTTAGAATTTACATCAGGGTTCATGTAAGAAATATTGTGAAGTGGAAGGTGAATTTGAGAGATGCAAAGCAACACGCAGGTATCAGTGCTTCAGGCCACACTGTCATTCCTGAGAGGAGACAGTTATAGCACCTGTCCTGTTCTGTCCTGTCCTGAAGCAAACCTGGGGGTGATATTATAAAATGCCTTGTTTGTCCCCCCAAGGACACAGCAAGAGAGTGAGGAGGTGACGCAGAAAGGATAGATCCCAGTTTGCAAAAGAATATCCCCCCCAAAA